CCCTGGTAGGGTTCATAGAGGAAAAGCTTGCAAAAGGTTGGGAACCATCCCCATGACTGTGATCCCCAGGAGCTTCATGCTTCTCATGCTGGCCCACTCTAAGCCTCCAGCAATTCACCAAAATTTCTAGTTTAATTGTCTTGGTGGCTTGTGCCTCAGGTGACTAAATGCTTGGGTCCTGTGCCTCTCTGTGTCTACCTCTCCAAATTTGGGGATAGCTTCAGGTCTTCAATAAGTTCACAAAAAGTCATTAATGTGCTGTCTGTCCAGCTTTTTTCTTGTTGGAAGCAGACTGTTTATGCAGATTAAGAATTATGAAAAATATATTATTGCCAAGAGTTTGTTTTATTTCTCTCATTATACCAAGCCCCAAACTTTTCTTTTTAGAAACATTCATCCATAGCAATGGACAAAAAGATTTTGTTACATATAGTCTAGTTTCCATTTAGTTAGTCAACTGTAGCTATCTAAATTGAGATAGATGCATCTATAGACGGGCTGTGCTTGGGCCTTCTTTGAGAGCAGCTTTAGATCTAAAATGCACATGGCAGTTGTCTCCTTTTCCTTCTGGGCGAAGATACTCTGCACATTGTGCTTTTCCACCCAGTTTATCTTGTGATCTTATTCCTTTTGATGCACCATATTCTGCCAGGCAATTCTTTACTTCCTTATATGCTTTATATAGCTGTTCCCAATAAACAGCCTCCCAGGCCATAACAATGTTATTCCTTTGGACATCATAGTGATGCTTCCAAACCAGTGCCTGCTGCGATTTCTCTGAATCAGTTGCATCTTAGATGTGTTTGATCAAAGTCTGCTGTACCTCTTCTAGTTGAGCAGTTTTTTTGCTGAGTTTACCAGCAAATCATCCGACCTCTGTGTAATTTTCTAATTACATAGATGAGCAACCCCACTGTTAATACAATAGAAAAGGTCTCTGGGGCAATTACATATATTTCTTTTGCATAGAAAATATAAGCTCTTTGCTCAAGGTCAGGAGTTCGAAACCAGCCTCAGCAAGAGCGAGACCCGTCTCTAGTATAAATAGAAAGAAATTAATTGGCCAACTAATATATATAGAAAAAATTAGCTGGGCATGCTGGTGCATGCCTGTAGTCCCAGCTACTCAGGAGGCTGAGGCAGCAGAATTGCTTGAGCCCAGGAGTTTGAGGTTGCTATGAGCTAGGCTGATGCCACGGCACTCACTCTAGCCTGGGTAACAAAGTGAGACTCTGTCTCAAAAAAAAAAAAAAAGAAAAGAAAAGAAAAAAAGAAAATATAAGCCCAGTTACGTGTGTGTAGGCTCCTGCTCCTTTATCCTAAAGGAACATGAAGAATTCCTCAGGAAAAAGCCCATGACAAGCTTGTCCTCTCTATTCAGGAAGAGATGGTACAGGGGCAAGACATGGCTACAGTTTAGTGTCCCTGTGACCTGGGTGGAGAACCTGGAGGAGCTTGTCAGGTACAGCAGTAAGATGGCCACTTAGGGGTCTCATACAGTGACCTTCTGAAAATAAAGATCTGAGCTCCTCTTAACATCCCATTGCTATATTTTTTTAATTAAATGCTTATATTTATCAGGCAATAACTTTTGTGGCTGTATAAATATGCTTTTAATTGATGGGTAGTTGAAGTTTGTGGTTGAAAAGATAATTTTATCAGAGAAGACGAGGCAAGATTTGAAGCCTTCCATAATTGCTTAACAAGCATATTTGCCCATTGAACAAATATCTCTAAAGCTTCTACTATGTGCTAACCATTGTTATGTGTTAGAATAGAGCATTGAAGGATACAGACAACAGCCTTGCCCTCAGAAACTTTATATGCTAGTTGGAGGAAACAGACAGGTTAACAAAAGAGTTAGGGAGGGAGAGGGATAATGGGAGTAGCAGGATGGGAAAGACCTCTCTGAGGAGGTGGTATTTTGGCTGCTGGTTGCTGAGGAGGTGTCTGCAATATCCTCCTGTCCCTGCCATTTAGGGACATGTTAAATGTGAGATGCCTGTTAGACATCTAAATAAACATATTACATATGTGGTTGGATATATAAGCCTGAATAACAAGACTGCAGTAAGTAAGGAATCTGGAAGTCAAAAACATGTCAATGTTTTTAATGCTCTGGAAGAAGCTAAGATCACCTTGGGAGACTGGATAGAGAAGAGATGAGAATCCAGGACCAAGTCCTAAGGGACATGAATAATTATTCAGAAGATTGCAGGAGCTAGTAAGGTAGAAGGACAACAGCAGAGTTTACAATCAAAACACTGAGAGAAAAAAGTACTTCTGTTAGGGAAGGGGGTATTGGAGAACCCAGCTAAATGCTACCAAGTTCAATTTAAGGCACAGACAAGTGACTCTTAGACTTGGGACCCTGGAGATCATTCATGACCTAGTCAAGAGTGCTTTTAGTGGTGTGCTGGGAAGGGAGCCTCATTCCAGAGGAGAGCATAGGTGAGGAAATAGAGACTGAGAGTATAGATGAAGATCATATGGGTTCAAGAAGGATTTTTTAGTTGGTGATTGTTTTTTTTGTTTTGTTCAATTTTTAAAGATGGGAGATACAAGCATATGTTGGCATACTGATGGGAATGTCCCAGCATTAAGAGAGAAATTCATGATACAAGAGAGCAAAGGGTATAAATCACAAGAGTAGGTAAGCAGGAATACATTCCAGAGCAAATGGAAGGTAGCTTATAATGCATGGAAGGCAGAGAGTTTAGGGGCAGTGTCACCTGCCCTGTACTTTCCTTAACGTAGCTGTAACTCCTGATCTTTCTCTCAGAGCATAGTGGCTGATAAAGATACACATTTTCAATGAGTCTTATTTTTTGAATGTCATTTGTAATTACATAAAACATAATTTAAGTCAGAGAGAAACCCAGATTTTGTATCCCTTTTTAGCCTGAGTGAACTATGTGCTCTATGAAACCCTGGCTGCATATTATTCCCAATATAAGTGCTGTCTCAAAACAGCATTGTATCATGTCATCTGCACAGCAGATCATGCAGACAGGTGCTATTATAGATATTTTATATAAAAGGGAATGGGAAATGTGGTAATAGTGATGAAATACAACTGGCTCTATTGAAGAATCCTTAATTGAGGGAGGACGTACACATTTGAATTAAATCACTGTGTAAGAACACGAAATTCTGACTCAAACAGAACTCTTAGTAAATATTTTTCTTTGTAATTTTCCATGGAAATGTAGATTTTTTAAAAAGTCTGAAGATAATTTTGGGGGGAGACCAGAACATAGCCATAGAGTTATTCTGGGAGGACAGTTACACCATGACATGTACACGTGAATAGGTTCTTTTGGCTGAGCTTGAGGGATTTTCCAAAGAAAGGGTTATTGTTTGGGTTAAATTTTTGTCTGCAAGTTCCAGCTGCTGCCTTTATGCCCCAAGGACATTTCAGTGGATGTGGAAATGGTCAGTTTCTCTGTTTTCCCCTTCACTTAACCCTCGGCTTCCTATTACTACTCATGAGAAATTGTTGTAAATAATTTTTATTTCTGGCCATTTTCATTCACAAGTTTCTCAAGTGCCTGGAGTAAAGATTATAAAGCTTATTTGGGTTTAACTGCTTTAGAGAAGATGGACATTTCACTTTTAGGAATTTGTACAGAAATAGGTAGTTTGCATTGGAAGATAGAGCATTCCTCCCTTCTATATTAGCAATGTTCCAGTGCTGTCTCTGTCATTTTTTTCTCACAGGAGGCTCAGGCACATCAGTTTTTCAGAACCTGACAATTCACCACTGCCCTTTTCCTGACATGAAATTATGGGAAGCAAAGAAAAATAAGCTTAAATGAAATGTTTTTGCATTTATACCGCAAAGATGACAACTGTGAAGGCAGTCTGCAGTCTTTGTTGCTTTTGTATCTTTCACAGCAGGTGTCACTTGCCACCGCTCACCATTTTTAGTAGTTTTTTTCCTTCTCACCTTTCTTATAGGCTAGTTTCATTAAAAGAGAAAAAAGAAATAAAAGAAATAATGATATCTGTAAGGTAGACCATTAAGTCTCTGTCATTTTTCTCTGGCGCACTCCTCAGGATGCAGGTCTTCTTTTCTCAGTGCATCACCAGGGATAGTTAATCTGGTGATGCACTGAGGGATAGTTAAGCCCTCCTCAGAGGGGGGAAGGCTGCTTCATGATGAGCAAATACTTTTATCTTGTCTCTCAACTTATTTATTGTTCATCACTTAAAAAGAAAAACAGCCGGCGCGGTGGCTCACGCCTGTAATCCTAGCTCTCTGGGAGGCCGAGGCGGGCGGATTGCTCGAGGTCAGGAGTTCGAAACCAGCCTGAGCAAGAGCGAGACCCCGTCTCTACTATAAATAGAAAGAAATTAATTGGCCAACTAATATATACAAAAAAAAAATTAGCCGGGCATGGTGGCACATGCCTGTAGTCCCAGCTACTTGGGAGGCTGAGGCAGGAGGATCCCTTGAGCCCAGGAGTTTGAGGTTGCTGTGAGCTAGGCTGACGCCACAGCACTCACTCTAGCCTAGGCAACAAAGCGAGACTCTGTCTCAAAAAAAAAAAAAAAAGAAAAACAGCCCAGTAGTAAGAATATTCTTCTAGGCTTTGAATGGAATATCTTTACATCTGAATAGGGTTATTTATGTCTAATCTCCCATAATTTAAATGAAGGGGCTGCATTGCTGGGTTTTTCATAAAGAGGAAAATATCCTGATCACTCTCCTAAACAGATGTTTTACTTTTTAGTAACTTGGTGAGTGGTGAATCATTTATGTGAACAATACTGAATAAACCCAAGAAATGCATATCCCTGATTCTTGAAGGACTCATGACCAACTTCTCCTAATCCTCTTAGCAGAACTGTTTCCTTTTCTTTTTTAATTTCCAGAGCTTATCATGATTAACATACTGTTTAGTAGTTACATGTCCAAATTAAATTCTTTAATTTTTTATTGAAATCAAACTCATGAGTTGTTTGGTCATGGCATTTTACTTCTTTATTTTTTCCAGAAAGAACTAGAGAAGCAGAAGAGAATTAAGAGGTACCAGCAGCTGGAAGCAGTAGCCAAAGAACATTATAAAAAGGTCTTGCTAAGAAGAAAAGGTCTAGAGCCTTGGAAGAGATTGAGAATTCAAAGCAAGCAAAACATGCAGGTACAGTGTCACACTGTGTCACTCCCCAAAACTAGAAAATGGACTTTCCCAAATACAACAAATGTCCAATTAGGCTTTCGGGGAGTTTGATTATTTAATGCCATAAGATAAATGAATTCAATGTATATATTTATTTGTTTTGGATAAGAGTTTAGATCTGGGTCTGGGCACAGTGACTCACGCCTGTAATCCTAGCACCCTGGAAGCTAGGCGGGGGGATCATTTGAGGTCAGTAGTTCAAGATCAGCCTGAGCAAGCGTAAGGCCCCATCTCTAGTAAAAACAGAAAAAGTTACTCAGGCATGGTGGTGTGTGCCTGTAATCCCAGCTACTCAGGAAGCTGAGGCAGAGGACTGCTTGAGCCCAGGAGTTGGAAGTTGCAGTGAGCCAGATTGTGCCACTGCAGTCTAGTCAGGGCAGCAGAATGAGACTCTGTCTCAAAAAAAAAAAAAAAAAATTTAATTTGGTCTTCTAAGGTAGAGAAAGACTTATATTTGAACAAGTTGGAAAAATCTATAGTAAATTTTTGATTAGAGAGCTCCAAGATAAAAAGAATAGAGGCTTCTCTCAATTTTAGCAAAGTTTAAGAAAGAAAAAAGTTATTACCATAAGGTATAATTAGATTTCTGCTATAATAATAAAGTTGCATAACAAACAACTTCCAAATATCAGTGACTTACAACTCAAATATTTATCTCTCACACATGTCTATGGACCAGTTGTAGATTGGGTTTCGGTCTTCCCCACAAGCCTCTCATTCTGGTTCCAGCAGCTACTCAGGGCATGTTTTTCACCTGGCAATTGTCAGAGGTACAAAAGGCCAAACAAATTATGTAAACCCATATGAAACCTCTGCTTGTAGCATGTCCACTAACATTCCATTGGTCAAAGCAAGTCATAGCACCAAGCTCAGGATCACTGAAGGGAGAAGGCAGCTCCATCCACTCCATAGGGAGGCACAGTGAAATGATAATGGGTGTAGAATTCTATTATAGGGAACAGTAATCCACACAGAGATATATGAAATCAAACACTCTACCACACAGAGATATATGAAATCAAACACCACTGAAATTTATGTAATTTCCCTAACAAATGTATCCAGTGCATAGAAAAGGGCATTCAGCTAAATGATCAAGTTCAAAACAGATCAAATGATAGCCTGTCTTCTGGCTCCTAGGCTGGGATGAATCAGGACAGGCATAACTCTCAGGTGCCACCGAGACCTCCTGTGGTGGTCATTTTGGCCAATAAGTATGACTGCCAAAACTCACTTGGATCAGTCACATTCACAGTGCCAGATATCTAGACAAATGTGTGACTATTTGGAGAGGACTAAGAAAGAAGAGTTTTCCCCTGTTGCCTCTTTAAAGAATACAACAGTACTTTTGAAAATCTATGAACTCTTGAGTTGTCTGTTTATTTTGATAGAATGATACTCTGAGCCTTTTAAAATTGATAAGACATTAAATTATTCATGTTAGTTTTCCATCAAATGGCTTTGTGGTTTATTGATAATGTCTAAATTTCAATGCTAGTGACAGCTCATTCTACAAAACTAATTGCAAGTATTGGCATTTTCTCAATTAGACAGTGGTTAAGTACGTAATACAGAGAGGTTTGTTATGGAGTTGCCATCTAAGATCCAGGAAAGCAAACTGAGAATGCTCCCATCGCCCACTGCAAAATTCAGTGGAAATGAAGTGGTGGCTTTGGAGGCTGTTTATTCCATTTCCATAACCAGCCAGTCACCTTGATCTTCAAGGAGTCAGCATTGAGAAGCAATATATGATGTGAATCTATAACCTCCATATAATAGGGTCAATAGAGCTTTTAGGACATAAGCTGTATGGACCTTAAAATTCTTCTTCTCCAGTAACTGCCTAAATGTGGTTTACAGTACTGTCCATCAAGGTGATGTGTGTTTACTTAAATGATATAAAATTTAAGGAATAATTTCCTTTTCTCATTTAAAAAATTGTCTAGGTGGCAGAAGTACATTACTCTTTGGCCTTACAGAAGAAATGCTTGCTGACGTGGTTCCATTATAGTCAGGAAAATCTGGCTAGGAAAACGGCCCAGGCTGATCAATTTTATTCCCAAATATTGCTTAGGAGAGTCATCCAGAGCTGGCAACAGGTAAAGCCACAGAGAAAGGTGCTTTAAATATATCTGATTGCTCAATCCTATGAAAGAAAACTAAATGGAATCTAGAATTTCATGGTCATTATGTTTTTTAAGAACCAAAGAGTAGACAATCCAATTCATTACTTTGAAATAAACTTGAAAATCTCCAATTGATTGGTTTTTAATATAAAATCTTAAACATGTTTCTTTTTGCACAGTGTGTGTATACAAACAATAACGTGTCATTACATCAGCTCTTGTTATTATACTTGTTTCTTGTCTCACAGTGCTCAAGTGATTTTATTAGAAACCTACCCCTTCAATCTAGTAACTGGTTCTGTTGTTATTTTTATAATACATTGCAGAGGATATTATCTTGGCTGCTATGTTATTCTTTCCTCTTTATTCCTCTAGTGTCCTTTGTTCCTGTTTTGTTTCTGTTTCAATTCTGTCTCATTTGTACTGTTTATTTGCTCTAATTCTTTGTCCACTGATGATATTTGTCTCACTTCTATTCTTGTCCTCATCCCCAGCACCTGACTCATCTGGAGGAAGAAGCAAGAAAACTTTGTGTACATTTTCTTCAGAAAAAGATTTTCAGGGCCTGGTTTAACATGGTCAGGGAGGCAAAGATCGATTATCAGAGCAAGCAGAAGATTGCGGCAGAGCACAGCGACAGGTGAGGTTTTGATCTCCAAGAAAATTCACTGTCTGACTTCACCATTGCTCAACAATATATTATTCTTCTGGAATGTGTCTGAAAAGATGGGGTTTTGGGGGTGAGGCTAGGAGAGCAGGGCACTCAGAGACACCAGGCAGGAGTGGCAGTCTCGGCTCACCCACCGAGTAGGTGAGTGAAGAAAAGATAGTAAGCCCCCTGGGACTCCAGGGTCCCCCATCTTTAAAATGAGGAGAAGGAAGAGGCCTGCCCTTTTTACCTCACTGGGACTGGCAAGAGAATAAAATGATGTCAAAGACGTGAAACACACTTAAGCAAATGTACTATATTCTTTATTAGTCACATAGTTTCACTTTTTATGTTCAAATTCTTTTTGAATATTTATTGTGAAATATTATACAAAAGTGCTTAAATCATACAAATACAGGTTAATGAATTACTATAAAGTAGACACTCATGTCACCAGTAAGGTGAAAAGGTAGAAGATTGCTGACCCCTGGGCTCCTTCCCAATCACAGGTCTCTCCTAAAGATAAACTACTCTCCTGACATTTACAGTGAACACTTCCTGCCTTTTCTTTTTACTTTTACCTCCTAAGCATGCAGCCTTCAGTGCTATAGTTTAGGTTAGCCTGGTTGGAACTTTATATATATGGAATCATTCTTAGGCTATATTAATATTTAAAATACAGTATGTCTTATTTAATCCAGTGTCTTTGGGAAATAAGGTATTCTATATAAGTAAGTTCTAATGTTAAGCATTTTGAATGGCAATGTTCTTAATTTTATTATGCACTTCCCTTTGAGACTAAACAAATGATCTGTCCTTTTTTGGTGATTTGGTATCATTCTTTATGAGCATCAGTTAATGTGGTGGGCATATTCGGTGATGCCTACAGGTTCTCAGGTGTGAAGACTGTTGTGTACGTGTAGAAAAGTGCCCCTTTTCTCACGACCCTCAGATTCACTTTTGGTTGCTTTATTTTCACTGGTGTATATGTGCGTGCGTGTGTATCTCTCTCTCAATTCCTTATAATTGTTTTCCCATCTTATTGCCACTAGGGTGCCCACCTCCACCCAAACCTGCTCATCTTTAATTTATAGTAACTGGAAATCAGTGGGCTGGGAAACAGATAAGCAAGATGATTATAGTTTTGTCTAAATTTAAATAAATACACAAAGTGTATTTATTTAATGCCCTCACAAAGTGAGGGCATTCAGAGGACTTCCCTTTGAATAAAATGCTTACACTTTAGAGTTTGAAGTTTAGGACTCAATATCTCTGTACTATGGAGAAATAATTTAACGTTTTGAAGCCCCCCTGTTTCTCTTTTATAAAATGAGGATGACAACAGAACCCATCTTAAGGAGTTATTTTGAAGACAAAATGAGGTAACATAGTAACTCACCAAATGCACTGCTCAGCCCAAAATAGGCCTAGTTTTTTTGGTTTAGTGTCATTTTGAATGTGTTATTGTTAAACATCCTTTTTACTTGCCTTTTTCTTTCTCTCTCGGCCACTGTATACAGACTTAGGGATTCATTTGGGGCTTTCACACAAACTATCTTGTCTGTTTGTGGTGTAATCGGGGTAGGGGACAGATGTCATGATTTCCATTTTCAGGCAAAGAAATAAGCTACAAGTGGGTAGGTGAATTGCCTAAGGTATGCAAATAACAAATGGCAGTTCCCTGGACTGCAACCAGGTTTTCTGACTCTAAAGCATTATCTTCTTGCTGCATCAGTCTTTCTCCCCATTTTTCTAATTCACCCTTATTTGTAAACTATAAAATATAATAGTAAGATAGTGGTCCTATTTAGAGTTTGAAGTTATGAAATCTATACAGGAATCCATGCTGTCAGCAAGAAATAAATTCTCAGCCAGTGTCTACTTAATATAAAAGCATTGTTGTGACTTCATCTCTTCCCACTTTGCTTTTTGTTTAACATGTTCCAGCCCCACTGGCATCCTATAATGTTCTTGAGACAACAAAGCTCACTTATACTTCCAAGGTTTCACATGACCTGATCTTCTCATCATGCAGCTCTCTGCTCAAATGTCACCTCCCTAATCACCCTAACTCCATCACTGTCTATCCATTAACCTGCCCTATTCCTTCACAGCACTTAAGGCTCTCAGTAAACTGTTTACATGTTTATTATCTGTCCCTTCGAGTAGACTGCAAGTGCCACACCTTGCTCAGTACTGTGTTCTCAGTGCACGACACTGCTTAGTACATAGGTTTGCAGTAAATATTTGGTAAATGAATGAATAGATGGATTTTATTGGAAGACATAATATTTAAAGTCACAGGACCTTTAAAAGGAGCTTTAACATTAAAAAATTGATATTCAAAGTTATTACTCAATTTTATGTGAATGAAATGACTCTAAAACATTGGCTTCTTGCTGTATTGAAGAGCTGTTGGTGAAAGGGAAGAAAGGAGGGATGTCTGTTGGTTTTAGGACTGACCTTTAAATTGTAATAATATTCAGAAAAATGATTCCCACTAAGAACATGAAGTTTAATTTCACATATCTATATTGCTTCTGCATAATTTTATAAATCTGGCATTTATAAATGGTGGGACTAACAGATGTTACCAGTCTCTTGTTATCAGCAGTTATTTTGCAGTTCTGCAGACAGAGCTTGGTATGCATTTGTCTCATTTTCAGCTGGATCAGTATTTCTGATATTGCTTGTTATTGTGGTTCTTAACCACAGTACCATCATGAAGTAGATAGTAATGAAAATCACAGACCTGGACCCCAGAAAATGCACATATACACATCACATACAACTTTACACAAAATGTCAAGGAATTTGTGGACCCCAGGTGAATAACCCTTATCTTGGTGACTTAAATTATATTTATTACACAATAGACCCACATTTAATTTATCAAGACATATTTTCCAAGCATAAAAAATACCTAATAACATGATCCCTGGCTCTCATGATTTGGCAGAAAACACATCAGATAGATACATACATACATACGTACATACATAAAGGTTTCCAATTCCAGAATGGTGATATAGAAGCAATCTGGCTTCACTCCTTATCACAGCAAACCCAAAACAAATATGTAGCTCTGAGATTATCACCATCAATATGCCAGGACTCAAGTATGTGCATGAGACAGTTCCTGGGGCCACAGAGAAGTGAAAAAAAACTCTGAGCAGATGGTAAGAGACTCAGACTTCCATATCCACAGCACCCCGACCCCCAATCTGTCTAACACAAAGTACATGGAAAAATTTCCCCCAACTCATAGTTTCTACACTGGAAAAGTGAGATAAAGGTGGACAACCAGCTTCCCCAGCATCTTGGGCTCCCTAGCAGGAGACCTGTCCCTGCCTTAACCCATAGGAAGCATCACAAGTGCTGAAGGGAAAAATGTCCCTGAGGACAGCCAGAGACAAAGTGGGGAAGCAGGACTACCATCCCTAGTCCTGAAAATTCTGCTGTGTAACTAAGCCAAAGGAGATGCCAAATCACAGTGGCTGTTCAGCAGCACCACATCGTAGCAGGTTCATTCCACAAGTCCACTGGGCACAAACCCTAAGCCAGCTGTCCCACACTACTGGGATATCCTTTTTGGGATCTCTCCCATTAGGGATGGGCAGCACTCTGTTTACTAAAGCCTAGGCTTAAGGCACCATCTAGTGCCCAAAAGGAGGCTGTGCTCTGTTGGCAGGGGGAAGAGGGGAACTAAATAGGCAAAGAATTTAGGAACTAAATAGGCAAAGAATCTCTGATCAAATATATCTAACAAAAAACAAGCTAGAGAGAGAAGACTGGAAGAAATAACCAACCCTTCAATGCAAAGACACAGACATACATCCCCAAGAAACAATATCAAACAGGGAACCATGACCTCCCCCAAAATGCAAAGTAAGGAACCAGTGAATAACCCTAATGAAGCAGCAATATGTGAGCTCTCTGACAAAGAATTCAAAATAGCAGTTTTAAGGAAACTCAGTGATCCCTAAGATAACATGGAAAAGCAATTCAGAAATTTATCAGAGAAATTTAAGAGATTAAAATAATTTTTTAAAAATCAAATGTTGGAACTGAGAAGTATATCTGCTGAACTGAAAAATCATTAGACGCTCTCAAGGCAGAATAGATCAAGCAGAGGAAACAATCAGTGATCTCAAAGACAGTCTACTTGAAAATACACAGAGGAGAAAAAAGAATGAAAAGGGAGGAAGATCACATACAAGATAGAGACAGTTACCTCAAAAGAACAAATTAGAACAAAAAGAACAAAAGAATTATTGGTGTTCAAGAGGGAATTGAGCAAGAACAAGAGGTAGAAAGCTTATTCGAACAAATAATAACAGAAAACTTTCCAAAACTTGAGAAAGATATAAATATCCAGGTACAGGAAGGTCAGGGAACACCAGATTCAACCCAAATAAGACTACCCCAAGGCATGTAATAACAACACTGTCAAAGATCAAGGACAAAGAGAGGATCCTAAAAGTAGCAAGAGAAAAGAAACAAATGATATCAAATGATATATAAAGGAGCTCCAACTCATCTGGCAACAGACTTCTTAAAGGAAACCATACAGTCCAGGAGCAGGTGAGAACATTTTCAAAGTGCTGAAAGAAAAAAACTGCTATCCAAAAATACTGTATCCAGCAAAACTATCCTTCGAATATGAAGGAGAGATAAAAGTCTCCCAAACAAACAAAAGCTGAGAAAATTTACCACAACCTGATCCATCTTATAAGAAATGCTAAAGTGAGTTCTTCAATCTAAAAGAAAAGAAATGCTAACATGCAAACAAAATATATGAAGGTATAGAGCCCACTGGTAAAATTAAGTACATGGACAAACCCAGAATATTCTAATATGGTAATTAGTGGTGAGCAATTCACTGATAATACTAATATGAAACCCCAAATACAAATCTATCAAAAACACTAATAGCTACAGCAATCTGTTAAGAGATAGTCAATATAAAAATGTGAATTGAAACAACAAAA